GCCCCCCCCGCCTGTCTCTGGGCTAACCACCTGCCTCTCTTTCCTGCTACGACTTGATAATACATAATTATGGTGTTAATTGGTGGGAGGCTGCCCATTTTTGCACCCCAATGTTTAGGGGGATCTCTGCAGCTCCATTCCACCCCTATACTGCGACCCAAGCCTCGCAGATGGCATCTTAGACAGCTAAACTCAGCTGTGCCCTTCACCCCATTTGCTGTGGTCCCCTCCCTGGGACCTTCTCCTCCCCCTTAGGTCCTGGCCCCATCTCACGCCAGTCGGGTCCCTAAGCCTCTTTGCTCTGTGGGCATCCCTTGCAGTGGGCCCCTGGTCCTTTGACCCCTCTCTGGATCCTGGCCCCAGCATGGGCCAGTCAAGGTTCCTCGGGATAAGCCTGAGCTGCTTGCCTGCTTTTTTCTTCACAAATCTGCTGGGTCACGTGAGCCTCAGGCCTCTCACTGGCCTGGGCTTTCCCCAGCTAGGACTGTGCATGGGCTGAAGGTTATTAGGCACCTCCAACCCACCTTTCACTGGGGTGGTAACTGGCCTGGCATTTTGGAGGGACCGTTCTGCCACAAACAGTCCTGTCAGACCACCCATCCTCAGCAGGGTGCAGTTTTAATACATGCCCAGGACCTGAAGCCTCCTCCATCCCCATAGCTCCAGCTCATAAATCTCCAAGCTGTTCCTGAGTCTCAGCTCCACTGGCTGCCAGCAGCAGACCACTGCTTCACCCTATATATATCCTGGGTCTCAAAATGGCCACAGTACTCAAACACCTGGCTGCTGCCTGCTCCAGCCCTTAAAGTGTCAGGAACCAACAGTGCCCTGCCACAGAACCTCTCTCATAAAACTTTCCTCAGGTGAGACTTGTGCATCCCAATGCGCTAAACTCACCAGGAGCATTGACAGACTGTATCCCTTTAACTAATTCGAGTAGTTCTTTCTTTTTTCATGAATCTGATTGTCTTCTGTCATCCTCTTAGATGTTTCATTCACCAGAAGACTGTATGTAGCAAATCGTTACAGATACGGGAAGATTTTAATCAGTGATTCAGAGCTGAAAATGTCCGTTATCAACTCTCTCATCAGTAAAATACCAGAATTAAAATGTCCCTGTTACCTGAACTTTCTCCACTGGCTTCTTCTGGAAGTTCCTGCAGACTCAGCTTCCATTCCAAAGGAGCATCACATGGTGTTACAGTAACTGCTAAAGGAGTGTTATCTTCTTCAACCACAAAGAAATACCTATGGAAAAAGTAATACGTTCATAACATCACTCAGTTCTGGTGAAAACTAATAGGCACTGACATGTCTAGAGCCTGAAGTCCTGTAACAGAATTCAATGTAGTAGAGGGACATCCAAGCTAGTTTTAACTGTCAAGCTTAAGTTCTGATATCCATCAGGCAGAAATCACTCACCTCATCTTAGGTTAATTTACTTGGCTTCTTAGAAACACAGTTGAAAACAATGAGACAGTAGAGAGAAGAAGGGATAAATGTGGTGGAAGGACCAATACAACATTGGTCACATTTCTTTTTCCTTGGACCTTGGATTTTGTTCTCAGTTTAAGAGGCATCTGTGGTTTCTGGTGACTCAAGACTTACACAAAAATAAGTCCCCCCCCAAAACAAAAAAACAAAAAAACCCCATCAAAAACTGATATTTTTCTTTCTGGGACTCTGAAAATTGGTTCCAAAATTAAAAAAGAAATAAAATTCTTGACTTCATGCACAACTCCATTATATTTCTATGAATCAACTTACCTCTTAGGTGTGTCCCGGAAGAGATAGCTGTTAATTTCAGCTCCATCTGGAATTACTGATGAATCATGGAAGAATGCTTTATCCCTAATCTGCATCTGGAAAAGTTCCTCATCTCTGGTAGGCAACTTTTGGGTCCTGGAACTGAGTGGTAGCAGCAGGAAGAGCAAAGTACAATGAAGCAGGTGCATCCTACAACAACAAAAGGGATTCCCATGTGATGTCTTCCAAATTATATCACTGTAGTAACTGCTACTTTTTGATGCTCAATTTGTTTCATTTTAATTCTATGGCTTTATTTTTATGAGCACATACCAGATAAAAAAGGATGATAATGCAATGTATTTCTCATGAATTTTGGCCAAATCCTCAACTGGTGTACACTAGTGCAGTTCTTTCCATCAATTTGTCAGCTGAAAAGCTAGCTTTTTATGCAAACCCTACATCCCTATACAAATTGTATTTAACAGAACATTTCCTACAAATATTACAAATTATAAGAACAGAACATGTAAATCTCGATTCAGTTTAAACCCATAAAAATAAGAGACAATATAAACGGAAGACTATTTCATCTCTGATGTGCATTTATTTTACACATATATAGTGGTGGTCAGGTATGTACTTTATATTTTATGGGAACCTCCAATATTTGTGGTTTTATTCATGCCAAAGCATTAGCAATATATACAATAAGGAACAATCTTGCTTTGCCAGAGGGATTGACTAAGTATCTAAACAGGTTTTTTCCATCTCTAAGTGAAACTGATCCCACTCACTGGTTTCCCTAATTAGCCTTTCTGTTGCTCACTACCAATGAGCAAAAGCCTTCACCTATTTTGTAGATCTATATTTGACATTTTGCCAAATGTAACTTGCTGGACATGAGAATGAGCACTAGCACACAGCAGACAGAGGTTATGTTGACTACACTTTCCTTAAGAGATTTTGGTTGGACTCCCAGAAATCTCTTAAAAATGAATATTTCCAGTGAAATTGCCCTTTATAAAAATAGTGAATTAGGAAAATATATTATATAATCCCATATGCATTCAAAGCACATTGGTATTCGTGTACAATTCAGCAAGACTTAATCCTCAAGTCTGATGGGAATTCCAAAACACAAAAGCAAAGAATCCTTTACAAATTAGGCATAATAATTCATAATCTCAGCCTTTCATTATAATGTCTACAGCTATGTCAGTAATGACTACCCTAAGATATACAGTAGAATAGAATGAACATCTTTTGGTTCAGTACATGATCTAATATGTAACGGATTTTGTAAGGAAAAGAGCTGAGAGGGATAAAGGGACTGTTTGATACAAGCAAGAATAGGGGCAATTTAAATTATATTTTGATACAGTTATAAAATTTAAAAAAATCAGATAAAATAATTCAAGTATTTCTACCTAAACCATGGTTCTTTTACTGAATTCGTAGAAAAGTATAATAAAAGGAATGAGTCAAAGCATTCTTATTTTCCTTTCTTTACTGTTATTAAAGCTAGGCATATCAGTATCCACCTTTCTTCTATGCTGCAGACAGGTTTATTATACCTTTATAGCAAAAACTTGTTTAGATCAAATTTTATAATATGTATTATTTCCACTTGATCTATTTGTAAAGCGGCAAACTCATGACTCCTTGTGAATCCATGATATAATTTCACTCATCATAGACCTGCTCTTGGCCTTCAACTTCTATATGAAAACATAAACATCCACCACCCCATTGGAACACCACCAGGCCTTCTCTCTCCTTTTCATAAAGGTAAACTACTAAAAGCTTCCAGTGAACTGCAACAGCCAGCAGACGCCAACAAGGTCTCCTCTACCTGTTCTTCAGTAAACCTTCAGCAGAGACCTCCAAAACCACATGGGCCCAAGGGTCTCCCATCCCCTCTTCTGCCTCAAGATTTTCAGCTTCATATTCTCAGATAATATTATTATTAAACAAATAATAATATATGCACATTAACCTGAGTTACTGCGCAGTAGCACCAGTGAATGCTTTTTTGTGACACTGCTGCGCAGTAGCATCGCATCACAGTTTTGCCATACAATGCTTCTGCACAGCAGTATCAGGCTGTGCAGTCAGTGTCTCATGTTGACGTGCCCTCTCTTTCTGAATCCAGTTGCCTTAAATCACCCCATTTAGTCTTTTAATTGCTCCTTCTATGCTAATCCATCTCTTTAAACATGCTACTGCCATGAACTCTCCTATTCTCTGCATTCTGCCTCTTCTCTTGCCCCATTCCCCTCTTTACTACAGCTCTCCATCCTACCATCCTCTCCTATTGCAACTCATATTTTCCCTTCTCTCTGCCCTTGCCCACAAGTGAAAATTATGGAGGGAAGAATGAATAAGAGAAACAAGTTTATGTAACAGTACCCCATGTTGACTGAACATTGCAAATCTAATTTACAAAAACTCAGTCTCATTAGAATGTTAGAATGCAGCTATAACAACTCTATGTAATCCAATCTTTATCTTACTCATTTGACCCTCCTCCTCTCTTACATGTGAACTATCTACCTCTCCTTACAGTCTGTTGTTTTCCCTCAACATATTTATTCTTACACGTAGGGTCAGATCTAAGGAACATCCTAAGGAAAGTGGGCTTGAAAGAAAGAAAACCGAGTGAGGTTCACCTTCATATTCTTCTGTCAGACAGATAGGCTCATCATAAAAGTTCTCCATCCCCATTTTCAGAGCACTCAGCAAAGAGGATGGGTACCTTTGCAGTAAGTTTGAAACCTGTATGTTATGCTCACTCCCTTTCTCAGGAAGTTCATGAATGTGTTGAATATAGTTTTAGGAGTTATTTTTCAGTAGCACAGTCAAAGTAGACTACACCTTTATTTATTCTGTGACAATCTTGCAATATCAACATATATCCATGTGACCATATTCTTTATTAGCGGGCCTTACAAGCCTTCATTCTATCACTTGAAGTATTTGAAAATGAATATTTTATTATTTATTGTATTTTATTTTTATTATATTGCTGTGCCATAACCACTTTCATAGGAAGAGGGAATGGGCACCTTAATTAAGAAAATTTAATTTTGTTTATAGCCAAATCAAGATTCTGTTTCTACAAGGTTTGTCAATATTTATCATAAGTTGTCTCTTAACTTTTTTATAAAAAGAAACCTGAAAATCAAAGTGTTTATAATTACCAGCTAACCTAATGGCATTTGACCTTGGGAAGAAAAGTTCATAAGAAAAAATACTGCTGATTTAAGTCACGCAAGTCAGTATAAATCTCACCCCTTATATAACATAGGATGAATTCTGGGTGTAATAAAACACTTTGTTTATTGATTTTCAAGTATTATCTTTGGCCCAGAGGGAGAAAAAAAATCTTTCTGACTTAATCAGAACAATTACAACAGATTACTTAGTAAGCTAAGAAATTCTGACTCTTTCTAAAGACAGCGTCCTCTAAATGAACCTCCCTGAAATCCCAAAACAGTATATTCTCAGTGTCAGCCCCAATGCAATTTAACCTTTATTAAAATAAACTACTTTTGATTATAGGATTACGCATACTAAGCTTCACTTCTTAAATTATTACACCAAATGATCCACTTTAAAGACTCTTGCAGACTGGGTCTGTGTCCACATTAGCAATCTGGATGGGGGAAAAGGTATACTTTACTTTCTGTGTATAATAACCCAAGCATTCTTTATATTAAACATAACACCAAAAATATGCTGGGGTTAGTTCTGCAGTCCTTTTTAAGGCAAGGACCTAATGTAGTCAACAGGGATTTTATCTCATCAAAAACTGCAGACTGGGCCATTTCATAGTTGTTACACCTACAAATAAAAAAGCAAATTTATTAAACTTCCTGGCTGAAAATTTTAAAGGTGAATATAATTTAGGTGTGTTCATTGTTAGGTACCCAACTCGATACAATTGAAAGGGACTTCATTTTTATGCATACTGCATTCTAAAATTCATTTATAAGCTGAGGCCCATCTATACAACGATTTGTCTGGCAAATCTATGCCTAAATGTAAGCCACTCATTTTACACAATCCATTGACTCTAAATCTAAAAAATAGAATGTTCAGCAATATACCACTTATACTTTTGTATAGATTTTAATGAAATCTTGCACTTACACAAAATGCCCATTGCATGAGCAAGTCAAGAATTTATCTGTGTTCAAATACACTTTTGGTCAAGTTTATAACTCACCACTGACTTTTGTAACATCTCTGAAAATGCATTTAGTGCTTGTGAGCATATAGTTAGTGGTCTCCCTGCCTAGCCCTCACCCACTTCTTGGAAACTTTCAGTGAATGTTTTATTTGTCCACCATAACCAGGTCTGAGCCTGGTTTTTTAAAACACATGTATAAGAAAAGGCCTACAAATTGTTACTCCAAACCGATACAACTATGTGAAGTATGTTGTGTTCTCCTTGCTATGCCACCTCCTAAATGTCTTTTATTCCCTTTTCTACCAGTTGGTCTTGTTTTCTTTTCCTTTAAATACAGAATCAATATTTTATTGATATACTCCTGCTGACTGGAGGGATTTGCCTGCTGTTTATCACTGATTTTAAGCTGAAAGCCAAAGTAAATAGTCCTAAAGGAAAAAATAAGCACAGCTTTCTTTCTCTAAGATTGCAAAAGTGCCCTCTAATGGCCCATCTTTACCTCTCCTTTTAATTTTCTCCAAGTTCTTTTTCTAGCCTGAAACCTAAATCAGTATATGAATATGAATGTAAATCTGATGACCAGTCAGTCTGTGTGAATCTGATCTCTGAATTCTAGATATTAAGAGCTGAAATAAAGTAGATTATGAGATAGAGTTGGCGCTGCTGATCTGTAGGTCAAATACTGACATGGTGTTTCCTGCTAACTTCAAAAAAAAAGGAGGGGAATGGGGGGGAACTTGTCATCCTTAAGGCTCCATGACTGTCTTCTGCTCTAATTTATAAAAAAGGGAAAGATTATTGAAGAATAAGCACAAATGGAGAAAAATAAAAATAATTCTTTCAATTTTTTAAAGAGGAAAATTGACAAACAGGTGAACAGAGTGTGCTCATGTGCATGGGTCTCAACTTCTACTTCTTAGTAGTCAGAGTAAAGTTAGTCTTACACATCTATTACACATACATTTGTTTATATACAAAAATATGTATAAGTAGAATCTATTACAAGACAGCATGTGTATCAGATCTACCAACAGAACTGCCAACCAAAATGCCCCAAGACTAAGTTGCAAAGCAAGCATTCACAAAATCATCTTTAAATGCCTTGTTCTATGGAAAATATTTGCTTTATTCCTCAAGTACCTATAGGTCACATATAGACCTGTAAAAGATTTTCAGTAACAAAAAGGGATCTAGGGTTACTTGAAGCAAATACATCTGGAATAAATAAAACCTAATGTTTAATTACAGAGAGTGGAAAGTGCATGATTGTAATTTAGTTAGGATAATTTCAAGCCATAGACAGCCACAACATTTT